ATTGTATTCATTGCTAACTTTTGAAATAAGGAAATTGACAGCTAACTTTTAAAATGAGGAAATTCACAGCTAAGTTCTGAAATGAGCAATTCATAGCTAACTTCTGAAATGAAAAATTTGTTTTAGGAAACTGAAAAGATATCAAACCTACAAGAAAAATTGGACAAATACAAATTAGATGCAAAAGTGATGAGCGAAGAATTTGAAGAATGCCAGAAAAATCTTACAGAATGTGAGCAGAAGTAAGTCTTATTCATTCATTGTGTAAATGCTCTTACTTCTTGTAATTAATACTCAGTATAATTACTGTGATTATAAAAAATGTTACAAAGTTTGTAAAATGGCCGTTAGTGTATGCCACTGTCATCATAGACTGCGCAGAAATATAACTCACATTTGTTTTTTGCTGTGGATTTTGTAAGATAATTTTCATTGCTGTTTGATTTGCTTAATTTAGATATTGTTATTTTTTTTATTACTTTTATTAATGCAATAAAATCTGACAAAATTTCAGTTAAAAAAGAATTTTCACTCTTAAATTATATTGAATTGCTAATGCATTTCTGTTATTTTCTCTTCGATTTATGCATTCATTTTATGAATACTTTTAGCCTATTTTTAAATTTAGACTTAAATATTTGGAGAAGCATCACAGCAGTGATAAAGAAGTTTTGAAGATGAAGGAGGCAGAAATCAAGGATTGGGAAGCAAAATTTAGAGTATATTTTTGAATAAATGCTGGCTTTTTCTAATTTGATAATTTCAGTTTTTGAATTTGAATTCAATTATTAATATTCGATAATTTTGTTTACTGAAACCTTAAAAATTTTTGTTGATGCAATTTTGATTTGTGTTAAAGCTTCAAGCGAAAATGTATTATGCAAATTGAAAACTGGATTTTTCAGTTAATTATTTTGCAGGATTTGCAAGCAGTCTTAGCAGTTCAAGAAGAACGAGTTAAAAAAGCTGAAGAAGAAGCAAACAACAATCAGTTGCAAGTTTGTGACTTAAACATTCAGTTAGATTTTCTACGAAAGCAGTCTGAACAAAAACACGATAATAATGAAATGGTAATGATTATATTTTGGTCTATGCTTATTCCTTTTTTTACTAATTTTATGATTTCAAAGTAAGTTAAAATTAAAAACGTTTTATATACTCTAATTGTTTATTTTGCAATATTTACCTTCGATTTGCATAATATTTAATTACAGATGGCAATTAATAGATAAGCATTAATTTTGGGATTAAGAAAAATTATTAAAGTTATGAACTGAATTGCATAGTACTGACTGACTGAAGAGTTATGTCAGTTTTAGCTGTGAAATCTGAAGTTTCGTTGACATTAGAAATTTATTTGATTCATTTCAGATACAAGCACTGCGTGAAGAATTGAAACAAGCTAAAAGAAAGATCGTTGCCCAAGCTGCTGATCTGGAAAAAGCTGAATTGGATGCTGATGTGTGTCTTGAAGTTATGAATCAAAATATATTTTTATTCTAAACATAAACTTTTTCAAAATTAGCAATTAATAAATTTTTCTACAAAAATATAGGAAAAAAACGAAGCAAGTTTTGCATATCTTCTTGTAAGATTTCTTTTTCTTAGACAATAATTTTGATATTACTTAGAGATTGTATAATTTTAGTTTCATTTTAAAAAATTAGTTTTAAATAATTCCTTTGATTTAAATACTCATACTCGTTATATCCACTTAAAGTGATGACTGGCTGATACTGGAAGTAATATAAAAAGGAATTTAAATTGACCCTTTAATGAAAATTGAAATTGACTCTTCAATATGCTAATTAAGAGCGTAATTTGTAATTAATTAGCTTTCAGGAAGCTGAACGCTCCTCTCGAGAAACTATTGGTGAACTCGAGGAAGAAATGCTCTCTTTACAAGAAAAATTGAAAATTCTTGAAATTGATGAAAAAAGGCAAACTGAATGCTTGATGATTGCTGAAGAGGAGAAAAGAAAACTTCAGGAAGCAAAGTAATAAATTTATAGTTATTATACAATTTGCTATTCTTCATTTATCCATTCATAATTTCCTTGTGCTCAAAATGAGTTTTGCAGAAAAGTAAAACTAAAATACTTAATTATTTCTGCTATTTTTGTTTTTAATTTCATGTTTGATTTAATTGAAATAGATTAAATTTGAATTAATTTAGCAATGAATGTGAAAAAAAGTGCGGAATGCTAACGAAGGATCTGGAAGAAATTCGTGCTGCTCTGATAGATTCTGAGCATATTTTGGAGAAATTAAAACTGGATAACGAGAAATTATCAGCCAAAGCAAGTTTAGAGGATGAAGTGCTTACTTTGGCTACTTCATTGCAATCAGCTCGGAATGAAATTAGGCATGTTAAAGTTTTATTTTTTGCATATATTTAATTTACAATTATTTATTTGTTTTTATAGTTAATTATATATTATTTATTTGTTTAATAAAAAAGATAAATAAAATTTAAAAAATTACAGTCCTGAATTGTTTCAATTTAGAAAATCGAAAGATTATTTAATGTCTCAGAATTATTATGCTATAATGGTTATCATTTGCTTGTTACAACACTCATTTTTATAGTTTTAATGATAATTTAATTTTAGAAACATTCAAATTGGTGTTGATATGATGAATTGTTTCAAATTGTACTTAAGTCTTACTTTAATCGCTACTTTTTGAAAATTGAATTTTAATGAACAAAATTCGAAGTGTTTTTAGTTTGAAACAAGATGAAGTAACGAGGTTACGAAGGGAATTACGTGAGGTGCG